GTACTCCTATTCTTTTTGCGAACTTGGAAGGAGTCCTTCCATATTATCAGTCACCCAATGCTTACTGGTTTCAGAGTGGTAGCCGTGTTACTCTGTATCAGCAAAAAGAACGAGGAGTAAATACATTTGTTAGTCTCTAAGGTGCCACAACTACTCCTCATTCCCAATGCTTACTGAGTCACATGTACCTAAAAAGAAAAGATGGTTTTAAAAAAAGACACCTTTTACATTTCTTATACTTTACCATGCTTGATAAAAGTTGGGCAGTGTATTCTGACATGCTGGTGGAAATGAGACATTTTTTATTCTTTCTGTCTTCCCTAGATAAAATCACAGTGTTTTTCCCTGAGGACCATCAGTCTTCACTGAGCATAGCAATGCATTTAAATATTATACCTGTTCTGTAGCTTTGAATCTTGGCTCATTGAGGTTCAGGGATTCATATTTCAAAGGAAAACATTCAGCATTTCCCCCCCAAATTTCAGAATAAACAAGGCTTGCAGACCATTAGAAATTATTAGCAAGCTAAAATATAAAACTTATTACTTGGTAGCTGCAGTTTTCAGGCAACCAGGAAGGAAATAAATGCATTTCCTATTGATTTCTGTGCAAACTGAGTTTTACTTCCCTTCCTAATTTCTCCTGCTTCTTGCCTGTTAATAGGAAGAAAGGTAGCTTTCAGGAGAAAAGCTCAGAGACCTCCACAACCATCTACAGAAATGTTGAGATTTCAAGAGGCATTTCTCAAATACTGTGTCTTCCAGTTTTATTTTATTATTATTATTTGTATATATCTCTACCTCTAGAACATTTAGCAGGAAAGCACTGGATTTTTCCTTTAATTTTTTTTCAAATGCAATTAGGTATATGAAGAACCAGTCTAATGTGATAGTTCTCAAGCCTGTACTCATTAAGTCTGTGGTTCAGCAAAGCACACACATGCTTAACTTTAAGCCCACGAGTAGCCCCACTGAAGTCATATGCTTAAAGTTATGCATCTAAGTGTTTTGCTGGATTGGGGCCCAAGATCCTGATTCAGCAAAGCACATAAGCATGTGCTTAAGTACTGTGGAAGCAAATGAGACTTAAATCTTTTGTTGAATAGGAATGGGACTATTCACATACTTAAATGCTTTGTGGAATTGGGGCCTCGTTTGGTCAAATAAGCTTTTTAAAAGTGCTGAATATTAAAGAGAATCTCATAAAAATAAATCCTTTAATAAAGGTGTAACCATACCTCCGTGGGTCACAATGGAGAATACCAAATTCAGGACAAACTGCTGAGAAATAGGGCAGAAAAACTGGTGGTTATTCTTTCATAAGATATACCAAACGAGCAACGAAAGTAAACTTCTATTTCACTGCACTGGCTAACAAGAAGTTAGAAAAGCAGTTTCCTTAGGTATTCCAGTTCTTGTATCACCACCAAAAACACTAGACTTCAAGATGAGTGGATCTTTAAAACCAATTTCATCAAATAGAAAGTTCTTCTGATCCCAAAGGACCAGCCACATATTCAGGTCAATATACAACTCAGATCTTACCCAATAATCATGCTGTTGCCAATCCTTTAGTATCTAAAATCTAAAGGTTTATAGAAAGAAAGAAAGAAAGTTAAAATTGGTTAAAGAAATCAAATACATACAACAGTTGCAAAGTTCTTGGTTCAGGCTTGTAGCAGAGATGGAATAAATTTCTGGCATGTTAAATCTCTGGTTGCTTCTAAATCATTGGAAGGTCCTCCATCCTTTGGTTAGAGTGCTCTCATTAGTATAAGTTCATAGTTCAGAGGTTTGAGCAGGAAAGAGGCAAAATGGATATGTTTCCAGGGCCTTTGATAGCTTCTGCCATGTGGAGTGAAATCCATTGTTTCAAACAGCCTTCAGCACAGCTACTGAAAAATTACAGGTAGCAAGATGGTGTTTGGAGTCACACGAGCAAGTCACATGTCCATGCATGACTTCCCTTAGTTACAGCAGGAAAGTCCATTAAGTGTCTGATAGGCATCTTCCATTGTGAGTTAAGTATTCATTAATGGGCCACTTAACTTGGATAGTCCAGTCAAGATGCGCAGGCTAAATACCTCGTAGGTGTTACCACAAGAGCAAACATATTTGAAATACAGGTATAGAGCCAGGACTCATAACTTCAAATACAAAAATGATACATGCATATGTAACGCCGACAGACCCCAGTCGTTGGCAAGCAGGATCGAACCAGGGACCTCTGCAGCTTAGTGCATGAGCCTCTACCGCATGAGCTAAAAGTCATCTTGCTGTTAGCTAAGGCTGTAGAGCAGACTCATTAAGCTCTCTCTGTAAGTGGTCTCAGTGCCATTAGATGGGACAGAACACCACACCAAGGAGGTGTGTGGGTTACACATACAAATAGCATAATCACATTCAGCAAACCATGAACTTTCCATAGACACCTTACTTGACATACTTTGTACAAAATTTGTTGCAATTATATAACAGTAGTAGCAACAATGATCTACCTATATTTTATCAGATAATGTCACACAAGGTCAATCAGTTCACCACTTGACACTGGTAAAAGGAGATGGACCCTGTCAGGTTGGGAATTAACTAGATAAGAGAAAGAGTGATTTTCTAGAGTCTGTGATTCTATGAAATGACTAATGGAACCGTCAGGAAGGAATGTGCTCTTCAAACATTTATGTAGAACTGTGACTACCTCTACTGTGATAAACTAGTCAATAAAGTACTGCATATAATGAGAGTGGATGTTTACCTATCCTAGCACGGCATTTCCAATACTAGTCATTGCATCGAAAGTTAGGAAATCACCACATTTCAGCATTTATGCAGTTTGATATTAATTGAGATTAATGGGAGAAGTTGCAGCTGCAGCAGTCAATAAAAAAACAATGTTACAAGTTCAAGCAGCATGTCCAACTGAAGCCTGCATTAAGTGTCATCATTATCAGTTTTGCCATAGCAGAGCTATAAAGAACTTTGGCAAGGTGATTGAAGCCCAACAAAATAAGAACTGTATTGGGCCTGTGGTTGTAGTAATGAAAGAGCAACTCCTAACTAGCTTCTAAAAGTAGTAACCCCTGCCTCTCCCCACACAGTATTTTGTGGTTAAAATATTACATTATGCAAAGCACTCTCTATTAGTCTGAACAAAATTCCTAGAGAACACATGTTTTGCAGCATTAAGCATACTTTATACTCTTCATGTAAATAAGGACAAATTAATTTAAAGGATACTAAAATAATCTAAGTACAAGTAATTCAGTTATACTTGTATTGCACCTTCCCTCAATCAAATAGATGTTTAGCAACAGATTCTCCACTAATGTTTCACCAGTTTGATGCCAGTGTGCATATGGTTACCTCAGTGTAAATCTGGTGTAATGGAGTGGAGTATCAGGCCCTTATTGTTCACACAGTAACCATTTCAGCACTGACCGTACAATCACTGGATTGCCCTCAGATTGTCATGTGAAAGTTGGAATCCTTTTGGTTAAAAAAAAAGTATACTTTGGGTGCATAAGTGCATTTGGGTCTTTGGAATGTGCCAGTCCCAGAGAATGGCCAAGCTCATGATCCACAACATGGAACAAATCATAGCCTGACAATAAAACACTGATTAGGTTTAACATCAGAATTGAAAATATTGATTTCAGGTTACAGGAGAAGTTCCTGGTTTACTGCTTTAACAATAGATCTGTTAGCCATGTCTCCTGTGATATGCCGTAATAAGCACCACATGTGGATGCATAAAATAATGAGGAGTCTTTGTGATTATGGATGCATGTGATTCATAGATTTTTAAGGCCAGAATTCTGACCTGCAGAACACAGGCCTTAGAGTTTCATCCAGTAATTGCTGCAGCAAATCTATAACTTCTGTGTAAACTCAAACATCTCTTTTAGAAATATTTCCAGTCTTGATTTAAAGATGTCAAGGGATGGAGAATCCACCACACCTCTAGGTAAATTGTTCCAATGATTAATTAACCTCAGTTAAAAATGTGCACCTTATTTCAAGTCTGAATTTGTCTAAGTTAATCTTCTACTCTTTGGATGCTGTTGTACCTTTGTATCTTACAGAGTTTCCTGGGCCACCTGCCAGCCTCCTGCAGGTATTTCCTGGGGAAAAGTCAAATTTGGTTGTAAATCAAGTATACTCCTGGAAAACAGGTTTTCAGGAGGGATGTGTGTCAGAGGTGACTACTGCAAAGAAAGTGCATATTCTTACTATGCAAATGAAGATGGACATGGAAAGAAATAATAAAAATGACTTCTCATTAAAAGGCTGTGGATTGACTATTCTTCAGAAGTCTGGCACGTGCCATAATACAAAACCCTGAAGATTCTTTTGACAAACAGAATACACTTTAGCTGGAGCTCATGAGTGAATAGAGAAAAAATGTGCACACAAAGGTGAAGATTATTTGCTACAATGCCTTCATGGTTTTGGTTTTCACCATTTATTATTTGTAGCATAATTATTTTGGGCTTGATCTCAAACCCACTGAAGTTCTGAAACGATTCCAATAGTTTTCACTAGTCTTTGGATCTTTCTGAGGTAATAAGCCTAAACTTATTTTTCTTGCAAAGTCTTTTCATCCTGTCATGCTCCAATAGTGATTACAGCGGAAAGATAATTGAAAGCAGCCTGTTTGCTGGAGCATGCTACTCTTTCTATATAGCAAAACTGCTTCACATTCCCAGTGGACTGTGCCCAATGTTGTTTTTAAAAATGAGTACTTATTGGGAATTTCTTAGCGCTCAGTGCTTTTACAAATCAAGCCATTTATTTGGGGCCCTAGACGTAAACTCAATAGCCTAACCTGAGGCAATCATTTTTTTTGTTTATCAAACTTGGCTTGTATTCATGTGTTACCTATTTCCATGGTGGCAGCAGCAAGAGGGACATATGCAATGAAATTCACTGTACATAAAGTTTCCAAAAGAGTCTGAAGCTAATGCTTGTTGCTTCACTGCTCTTCGGGGGAGAGCTGATCAGTTAAACAAAACAGCTGCCTTTCCAGACATACTCCATTGTCCAAAATTCCTCTTCATCCAAATGAATGTCACCTCCTATTTCTTCTCCAGGTCCATATACATGACCCAGCACACCACAAGAGCCATCAAATGGGAAAAAGTCTCCGTGCTCTGGCAAAGTACACATAAAGGTTTTAGCTGCCAGTTGATGGAACCAAGTAATCAACTCAGCTTCAAACTACTGTAATTTGAGCAAAGATAAAAACATGGCCCTCAAACTTTCCATCTAATTAACTTGACTTTGCTGCTAGTGTTTCAAACCATACAGGCACGTGCTAGGTCAACAACTCATAGAGCTAGACCCCCAGATTTTCCAGAGCACTGCTTCATGTTCTGGGGAAATAGAGGATCACAGGTAGGTTCAAACCACCTTTCTACTGACCCAACCAATCTCTTAAGCTGCCAGGGGCCAAGTTCTAACTTTCTGTGACAGGTAGCTACTCCCAAGATGCTGCTGGCCAAGATTGCAAGAGCGCATCATGCTCCAGTCCCACCTCTCGTACCTTTCCCATGCCCCTTCCTGGTCCTTAGCCTGCCCCAGAATGCCTCCTAGTATTTACAGGGGAATCTTCAGCTGTTGCTTTAAAGCAATGTTTAGTTACCTTTTTGCCTCTGAGCCAATGCAGTGGCTCAAAGGGGACATACAAGGAAGTAAGGATCTGGGCCATCCAATTTAAACATTGTGAATATTTCTTTCACATCTGTCCTGCACACATGTATTTTAAAATATTAAAAACTGTTTCCATGTGAGTTCCCAGATTTTTCTTAACAAATTTAAATGATCCCTATTAAACTCATCAATTTTCTGAAGAGACTGATATCTTCCTTACACAGCAGATTTACACCATGGCTGCAATCCTGAAATCTTTTGAGTAGTAATTCATTTTAAAGCCTATATTCTGCCCTCAGTTACACCATGCTATTCCCATTGCATTCAATGGAAGTTTAACATATGTATCTGAGGGCAGAATCAGGCCTTAAACTCAGAGTCTCCAATCTGCTAAACTGCACTCTGTGCAGGACATGACAGGAAAGGAGAAAAGTATCTATACACCACCTTTATACTCTTCCCATCCCCTGGGCTGCCATAAAGTAGAGCAGCCTTAAGACAGCTCAGCTTACACTGGCTTGTAATAGTCATCAACTACGAAGGACGGTCTAGTGGCTGATGCACTAGACTGAGACTCAGTTGTGCTCCAATACTACAGTGATAGTCAGCTGTACAAAACCCTAGGATAGATGGGACCTGGGATCAATTCCTGGCTTAACTACAGACTTCCAGTGTGTGACCTTGAATAAATCATTTAATCAACCCTGTGCCTCAGTTCCCACGTTGTAAAATAGGAAAATGTTTTCTCTACCTCATGGGGCCCTGTGAGGACAAAGTCCATTTCTGACTGTAAGCTACTCAGATATTATGTGGATGAGGGCCAGATACTGTACATCAAGAGGAGGAGTTGCCTGACTGGAAATGAGAAGATAGGCAGCACTGAAATTCATGTTGTTTACTTTCCTCAAAAGGAAACCTTAGCACTTCAGAATGTCTTTTGGAAATACTCTTTAAGGAAGCACCACCAAAGAAATCAGGCTCCTTTAGAAGCAAATGTAATCATGATATTAACATTGCCATTGTCTACTGTCACAAAATATAGTGGTGTGACATCACTCCAGCCATTTACAGACATCTCTACTGCTTGGTACACTTCCTCATGCCTCAGTTTGTTGGTAAATTCACTATCCTACATGCAAGGAAAGTGCAGGACACATAAATGCTAATATGCAGTGTTGTCATAGCCATGTTGGTCCCAGGATATTAGAAAGATAAGGTGCGTAAGGTAATATTTTTTATTGGACTAACTTTCAAGTTGCTTCCAACTTCCCACTTCCAAGCTGATCCACCCACCTTGTCTCTTTAATAAATGTTAATAGACAGTTATTCAGAGTTGTGACTTGTGAGCTCAGAGGGCTGTATTCTCTGGCCCACCGAGTTCATTTTGCACCATGTAATTAGCACTAAGTGAACTTAAACCAGCTGCAGCTTGATGTTAGAGAATTCCTCCTGTACAAGGGAATCACCACGGGTATATGGCTGGTGATGGTAGGATAGCTACCTCCCATGCCAGTGTAGATCCTGGAGCACTGTTGTAATCTACATTGTTTTATATGTAAATTGCAGCTAAAGTCACACCTAGGTTCAAACAAACTGTCTCTCTCTTTGGATTAATCGCTCTCTCTCATTATTTTAGTGCTGTGTTGTAAACCAGCGATTCTCAACTGCAGGTCCACGGCCCACTGGGGGCTGTGAGACGTTTCAGGGGGTCTGCCAAGCAGGGCTGCTCAGAGCCCTGAGCCCCAGCACCCTGCGAGGCATGGTGCAGAAGCTTGGTGCCCCCCTGACCTCTAGTGCTGAAGCTCAAACCCCAGTACCCCAAGCCCCAGCAGAAGCTGCCCTGCAGGACAGAAGCCTGGAGCCCCCCTGCCCAGCAGGCCTCAAGCCCTGAGCTGTCCCCTGCCCCAAGGGGCAGAACCCCCAAGCCCCCTGCTCTGTGGGGCGAGTCTTGAGCCTCCCCCTCCCCCCCGTGGAACTTCCGAGCCTCCCACTCCCAGCCTCATAGGGCAGAATCCTGCCCATGGCTGAAGCCCAGAGCTGCCCCCCACCCCCCATCTGAATCCTGGAGGGCCCTCCCTTGCTGGGCCATGGAGTTTCTATAGCATGTTGTGGGGTGGCTTCGAAAGAAAAAGATTGAGACCCCTCATTGTCAATCACACTCTAAGAAGTCCATTTGGGCACCACAAAATAGTTATTAGCACTTATGTGACGTGCAGCAGCCAATCTGAAGCTGTAACATCGATCAACATCTTGCCCCAGTGAGGTTAGATTTGGGATTTAATTTAATAGCATCTCTGATGAAATCTGGCATTTCATGATCATGCCAGTAGACATTGTCAAGTGCATGCCACCCCCACCATAAGATAAGCTCTCAGAGATTTATTACTACTGTGACTTACTCTCCTTTTTCTTCACATAGCCACACACTGCAGATCTCTCGCTGTGCTCAGTCTGTATTCTGACACAACAAAATGCCAACTGGAGCCAGAGCAAGTTTTGAGGATACCAAGGGGTGCATGGAATGCAGGACAGGCCCTTCAATCCACATTCAGGTAAATTCCTTCTGACTTCTATTTTGCTTAACTAAGGACTGCAGATATTAGTCCATAGGACTGGGTCCCTCTGTCCATACTCACATTGAACAATAATTTACTGCATGAGTAGTCCCATTGACATGATTGGGACTAAAGTTCGGTGCTGCTCAGTGAGAGTAATGGTATCAGAATCTGGCCCATAGGGTGAGATTTTCAGAAGCACTCAGGATTGGCCTAACAAAAACTTACCCATAGTGTTTAGAGATCATGGTGCAATTCATTTGAGCACCTGATATACTGCAAAGGGATTTGTCCCTAGCTTTGCAAATGTGAAAACACGCTAAATTAATCCTTCAGGCTCATTTTGCAAGGGTAAACAAAAATAAAATCCACAGTTTGACAAAATGAAGAAAACTATTCAAGTGGACTTCAAGTCTTTTAACAGCACTTCCATCTAACAATGAAACTTTCCCGCTATTCCTCATGGACTTTATGGGGGTTGAATGACCCTGTTTGAAAGTGATTCATGTTTTTCAGGTTTCAGAGGAACAGCCGTGTTAGTCTGTATTCTCAAAAAGAAAAGGAGTTCTTGTGGCACCTTAGAGACTAACCAATTTATTTGAGCATGAGCTTTCGAGTGAGCTGTAGCTCACGAAAGCTCATGCTCAAATAAATTGGTTAGTCTCTAAGGTGCCACAAGAACTCCTTTTCTTCATGTTTTTCAGTTATGCTGAAATCTATTAGTGAACCCCTGGGTGTTATGGGGATGACAGAGAGACAATAAATGGACCAAGTACTTTAGATTTTAGAATGAATATTGTTGTGACTATGTTTTAAGATTAATGAAACTTCTGATGAAGAAAGCACTTACAAATGAAAGAGGATGATTAACATCAAACAATTATTCTTCTCTGATCCTTTTCTTCCTGTTGTTTTTACACCTTACTAATGAGCCCTGGTTTCCTGTGGGTACACATTATATAATGATAAATTTAGTGTAGTCATAGAGTAGAGTGTGTTTTGCTAATGCATTTTAAGATAAATATTTATAGTTGTAATCCAGAAGTGATAGTAATTTATGATGAATGAAAGGATACATTTAGGGCCTAATTCTGCAAGCACCTTAGCTCAGATCCTCAAAAGTATTGACAATCTTAACGCCCAAAGAAAGCAGTAGAAGTTAGGTAAATATCTTTGAGAATCTGGGCTCTAATGCTTACTCCCCTGAGTAATAGCTTAGGCATTAATGGAACTGCTCTTGCTAGTTAATATTTGCAGGATTGGACCCTTCAGTGTTGGGTTTTTTTCATGGAGTTCAGAGCGAATGCATACGCTCTTTAAGACATTCCAGGCTGGCATATATAATGGTATTTCTGGGAGTGCTTAACAGTGCAGGGAGGATGGCAGACGCAGGACCAACAGTATACAAAGGTCAACTTTAAGTCACCTCTGGATACTGGCCCTACTGGCAGCCTTGCATTTTGACCAGACTCCAAAGATTTGGCCTGCTGTCTGTGGTGAAGCAATTTATGGAAACCTATTTGCATTTACATGCATTATATTGGCTGTGCTTTTGAATCCCATGAAATGTAGCATTCAGCCGCCTAAGTGCTTTTGTTCTAATGTCACCCCTAATAGAATCAGAACCATGTGACTCTGGAATGTCTCCAGAAAAAAATAATTCAAAGAAAATAGGACACACTAGTTTGGTGGTTTTTAATTGAAAAATTAGATTAGAGCAGAGCACACAATGGCAGCCTTCCACAGGCACAAAGCATGGAAGAGACAAAAGATTGGACTGGAAATTCCATGCAAATGAATTCTTTTCAATGTAATTAAATTCCAGTCCTCAATTTTCAATGAGTGTACAACTGCGTTATACCAAATTGGCCAACAGCCATTTCCCCAATTAGAAACCAATTGTAAAAGGCACCTGAACTGCTCCTGGGAGCTGTTGTGGCCCTTAG